AGGTTGGAGCCCAGGATCCAAGGGGCACTAAACCATTAAAGACCCCAGATTAGAGTGGAAGGGGTGTGAGCAGCATCAGCTGCTGTGGGGGTGGAAGTGGGGAGCTGGGAGAGAAAACACTGCAAGGGGAAAGTCTGTCTTTCCCAGTCCAAAGGTGGAGGCACTTGAGTGAAGTGGAAACGACCAAAACTTGCAAGGAAAGGGTAATGTCTAGGTGAGGCCAGATGCATAGTGACTATTGTTTATACCCTTCTCTCTGCTTACTGTGTAACTCTGGTCAAAAATTCATTTGTTTTAAACATACTGTTTTTGAGTCACTTTAACTGCAGACAGGCTCCCAGAGGGAAATTTCTTCTGAGTGCCAAATACTGCCAGGCCTGTCCTTTTAACAGTTCGAAACGGGGGGCTGCTGCCCTGAGACCAGTCTGAGTGTAAGTGAAGAAAGGAGAAGGAAGTGAAACCTGTCACCTGAGGTGTGCTCTCCTGAGGGGCTGCAAAGGGGTGGAAGGCACTGCTCACAAGACGACAGGATGGCAGGAACAGGGTGTGCTGTAGCCTGGTGAGCCAGCCTTAAGTGGGGTGAACTGCAGAGTCTAGCTCTGGGAGGAGTGCAAGTAAAGACCTGTCACATGGAAAGGATGCCCACAGAGAGACCGGGGCAGCAACTCACCCCTGAACCAGGACACAAGCATTCCAAACCGGTGCTGCACCCAAACCTGTTGCTTGGGGCCCAATTCTGTGACTCCCTTACTTATGCGAAGTAGTACTTACTCCTGAGTCGTTGTGATGAAGCTGAAGCGGCTACCTGCACTAGGGCTAGTTAGCAGGACAAAGGGTTGCAGGCATCTGTCCATCCCAACAGACCATCTAAAAATCTCAGTGCTTCTAGATATTAAGGCGTGAGCTTAATTCCAGAGTTATAAGAGAGGTTTACCTGAAATTCAGTCACTGAACAAGGTGTTGGAAAACATGGTGATCCAATGGAGAGAAGGCTGGAGACACTGGGATGCTCAGTACAGAATGTTTGTTCTTATCCCTCAATGCTCATATTGAACAGGGCCTTTGCCTTAGGAAGTTGCAGAGCAATGTGTCTCACTTATATTGCAAAGGCTGCCCAAAGCCCATTAATAATTAGTACCAGGGAGCTGCACTAGGGCATGGGTCAGTATTTTACAGCTCTTTTTGGTTGGTTATTAAATACTTGGGACTCCTGAAGAGCAATGGACTTTAGTCTATTACCCCTTTCTTCTATATTGTGAGAGGTGTGATCGAAACTGATCTCACAGATCTGCCTTCCCCAAAGTTTGGAGAATAATAATGAATATTCTATAGGCTCTAGTAACAGAGGGACTAGACCAGGGGTCGGCAAGGTTTGGCACGCGGCTCGCCAGGGTAAGCACCCTAGCGGGCCAGGCCAGTTTATTTACCTGCTGACGCGGCAGGTTCGGCCGATCGCGGCCCCCACTGGCCGCGGTTTGCTGTCCCGGGCCAATGGGGGCGGCGGGAAGCCGCAGCCAGCACATCCCTCGGCCCACGCCACTTCCCGCCACCCCCATTGGCCCGGGACAGCGAACCATGGCGAGTGGGGGCCGCGATCGGCCGAACCTGCCACGTCAGCAGGTAAATAAACTGGCCCGGCCCGCTAGGGTGCTTACCCTGGCGATCTGCGTGCCAAATGTTGCCAACCCCTGGACTAGACACTGGCAGGCCTGGATGGGAACAGCACTGAAGTGAGGATTGCTGCCTCCTTAGCTATGTCCCTACCCTCTTCCACTGCTATCTGAGAGACTCCACAGGCTTCAACCTGCATGAATGGGGAGAATGGCCTGATGTTTCTTTGGAATGCTCCTCATGGGAGGAGAGTTGGGGAGGGGCTGGGCTGGGCTGCAGAGACCAATCCATAGGGAATAGGAGCTGCCTGCATGCTGCACCATCCATGGAGCTGCCGGACCACCCCCCATGTCAAGGGCAGTCACCACATCGGTACTTTGCCTGCATCCCTGAGAATCCTCCCCTCCTGCTCCGCAGGAGAGGGAGAAGGTGCAGCATAGGAGTTATTGATGCCTTGAGCAGCATTCATTCCCCTTCAGAATAGCCTCACGCCTCAGAGCCAGGCAGCTGCTGCTCTCCAACCTTGTCCTCGCTAGATCTGTGAAGATGGCACAACTCCAGGCTCACAGACAGGAAGACACATGCTGACACTAAGGGCCCTCACCCGCAATTCTGGGTCCCAGGAACTATTCTAGTGGTTTCTCCTCCTCTCTGTTTGTGGCAGGAAGCCAGGCAGCAATTCAGATTATGTTAAGTAAAAGTAAAGTTAAGTATTGGAAGTAAAACGCTGGCAGTAGCAATGAAGACACTCAAAAACCCAGCCTCCCTTCCCTCCCTCTCACACAGTGACAGAAATTAACTATTTGATCCTGAATTGAGGATGTTAGAAAGTAACTTATCAACCACCTGGTGGCAGCAAACCACTGGGATTGGAGAACATGGCAGGCTACTGAGCCAGAACTCAGGAAGAGCAACTGGCAGGTGTTCATCTTCTAAGTTTCCTGGAACTCAGGCTTGAGAAGGTAAATTATTTCAGTGTCACATGACAGGTCTCCTGTACTAGGATACCAGAGCCAGTAGGGAAAGCTCCTGTGGCAAAGGAGGTAGGATAAATGAGATAGTTCATGTTCTCTTCTTAAATGGTTGCAAGCACTTTGGCGGACAGGATTAGAAATCAAAACTGTGACAAATTGGAGAATTGGTCTGAAATTACCTTTACTGAATTTAATCATGTTAAGTGCAAAGAACTTCCTTTAGGAAGGAAAAATCAAATACACAACGGGGAATAACTGGCTAGGTGGTAGTACTGCTAAAAAGGATCTGGTGGTTATAGTGGATCACAAATTGAGTATAAGCCAACAACATGATGGAGTTGGCAAAGAATGCTAATATTCTGGGGTGTATTAACAGGAATGTCATACAGAAGACACAGGAGGTAATTGTCTCCCTCTACTTGATGCTAGTGAGGCCTCAGTTGGAGCACTGTGTCCAGTTCTGGGTGCCACACTTTAAGAGAGATGTGGACTGACCTAAGAGGAAAGGTTAAATAAACTGGGTATGTTTAATATTGAGAAATGACTGATGGGGGTCCTGGCAGTCTTCAAATAAGTTTAGGGCTGTTATAAAGAGGACTGTAATCAATTGTTCTCCATGTCCGCTGAAGGCAGGACAAGAAGTAATGGATTTAACCTGCAGCAAGGGACATTTAGGTGAGATATTATGAACAATTTTCTAACTATAAGGATAATTAAACACTGGAACAGACTTCCAAGGGAGGTTGCGGAATCCCCATCATTGGAGGTTTCTAATAACACCTTAGACCAGCACCTGCCTGGGATAGTCTAGATGTACTTGGTCCTGCCTCAGTGCAGGGGGCTGGACTAGATAATCTCCAGGTCCCTTCTAGCTCAAATTTCTCAGATTAATCCAAGGATTAAACTGGAGCTGCAATTAACATTAGGCAGGTGTCAACAGACATGAGCCAAGGTAGACAGATCAGCCCAAAACTTCTTTTGGATGAAGGAAATACAGCCCTAATACTGAAATGTCTGGTCAACTTCAGGCTGGGGAGCTTCCCAGAAGAGCAGGGAATCCACTCGGGTGCGGGCAAGCATACTGTATTGTAATGAGTATGCTTCCCATTACACCACAATTGCCCCTAAATTGGTTATTCTTACTGAGCAGCATCTCCCTTCCTACCCTGCAACTATTGCAGAAGTTGAACAGTGCCAATAGAATGGGGAAAAATCTTTTTACCTATAAAATGAGCTCACTTGACAAAGTATAGAATGTGATAACATTTTACAGTGTGTAACTGTACTTCACCTGGCTCAAGAGTTGATAAACACACATGAAATCCCTCTGAAGATTCATTTTCCATGAAACTGTACTAAGAGCAAAACATGGGTTGGGGTAAGAGATGCATGCCTATTTTCTCTCCTGCCCCCCTGTATGCCTTGTCTGTCTACAATAGCAGGAGCATTAGATTAGGAATTTTATTAACCCATATGCAATGGATAAGTTTTAGGAGATGTGTATACTTTGTATTTTGAAACTGGGAGAGAAAAAAGTTGTATCAGATTATTAAAATCATGGGAATGTCTAAGCTCTGATGTCCACTTAACTTGAAACATGTTTCAACGATTAGATCAACAAATAATTAAAAAAAAGCAATACTACCCACATACGAATGAAATTACTTTATTAGGTTAGAAAAGGTTTTCCATATTATTGATGCGTGAATATTTATGGAACAAGTTAGCTACAAGATGGCTACACTCCAGTGATAGAATGTCCTAAGATGGTTAATACAGGGGGGGGGCGGGAGGAGGGCGGGCAGAAGGAGATAAAAGTTTGATATAAATACAGGATGTGGATATTTTAGAGCTATGATGTTTGTGTCTCACAAACTTGACTCACTTGAGAGATCTAGTAACATCCATCCTTTTAAAAAAAAAAAAAAAATTACTTGTTTTCCAGGGGTACGTCCACCATCAAAAAGCTAAGTGCAAGTGAAACAGAATCCTTTATCCCACTGAAATCTTATCTGGATTTTAGAGTAAATGCTTGGAGTTGGCAGAAAACGCTTATACTAGTGAAAAGTGATTACGCTGGAGGTTTCACCTTCCCCCAGAAAATCAAAATTTTCTAGCTAGACAATGTGTGTATTCATTTCATTAACTCAGAACAGCAAGAGAAATTTAATAAAAATATATCTTACTAAATGTAGACAAGTAGCTTAGTAATTAATACTTGTATATTGTGTTTTCTATTTGTTATCCACCTCTCTAGCGTCACATATTGTTCAGTTAGCTATTCCATTCAAGTGTGATGTACCTTTATCTGTAGTTTACCAGCACATGTACATTCTAAGCAGTTTAAGTGTGAGTATTTGCTAGCATTGAGCTCATCACTGCTATTTTAACCAGTCACATTAATTTGCTTACACATTAAAAGTTCATTTGGAGAACTCTCTTCACAGTCTCCGTGTATTCATCATCAGGGACAGGTTTCTTCTGGCTGCCAGGCTCCAGAAATTTCTTAACTGTGGGGATGTCGCTTATTCTTGCTTTAAAAGCCTAAAAACAGGAAACATCACAAGAATATTTAAAGGCCAGAAAGTGAGAGAAAAAAATTACATCAATTTGTGTTAAAGCAGAGGACCTGACTGAAGAGGGCAGTGTTTGGTTGCCATTTAACCCTAAGAATGCCAACGTTTAAGGTAGACAAGGTGGGTGAGGTAGAATCTTTTACTGGACCAACTTCTGTTGGTGAGAAATAGGGTGACCAGACAGCAAATGTGAAAAATCGGGACAGGGGGTGGGGGGTAATAGGAGCCTATATAAGAAAAAGACCCCAAAATCGGGACTGTCCCTATAAAATCGGGACATCTGGTCACCCTAGTGAGAAACAAGCTTTCGAGTCACACTGAGTTCTTCTTCAGGCCTGGAAAAGGTATGTAGTTCTCAGCAGCCAGTTCAGGATTCCCAACACATTGATGTGTGTCTCTTATGCTTGTCACCTTGTGCGGCTCTATGGTTCGCCAACTGAGAAACCTAGAGGCCCCTCTAGGAAGGCTTTTCACAAAAGCCATCTGTGACATTCCCCTCTGGTGTTATCTGGACTGGTGATCTGCTAGGTCACCCCGATCCTTGACTCTGGGAGCCAGCCTTACCCTGCTCTGCTGTGAGAACCCCCACTCCTGGGCTGTTCACACACAGCCTCTGGCATGTAAACTGCTCCTTGATTGTGCAACTGAATGACACTAGCCAATATCTCCGGTCCCAGACACAACCCTAGGAACCTTCATCTTGCAGTATCCAGTTGTACCCACTGGACATTGCAAGCTTATTCGTCAATTTAACGAAGAAATTGATATATCCCAAGGGGAGTCTCTGACACACTTCAAACCAAACACACTGCTTCAGGTAGAATAAACAAACAGGTTTATTAAATACAAAGATAAAATTTAAGTGATTATAAGTCAAAGCATAACAAGTCAGATTTGGTCAAATGAAATAAAAGCAAAACGCATTCTAAGCTGATCTTAACACTTTTGATGCCCTTACAAACTTAGATGCTTCTCACTCTTCAGCCTGGCTCTCCCCTTTGATCAGCACTTCAGTCACTTGGTGTGGTGTCTGTAGATGTAGGTGGGAGAGAGAGAGAGAGAGAGAGAGCGCACATGGCAAATGTCTCTCCCTTTTATCATGTCCTTTCTTCCCTCTTGGTTTTGCCCCCTCCCCCCCCCAACCCTTCAGAGTCAGGTGAACATTATCTCATTGCAGTTCCAAACTGACCAAAGGAAGGGGGGTGACTCACTCAAGAGTCTAACAGATTCTTTTGTTGCTGCCTAGGCAAGCATCCTTTGTTCCTGTAGGGCTGGTCTGGTCTGGTCCCAGACATGCCCTGATGAGGTGTGAACTGCCTCTCAGCTCTTGGACTGTTTTTGCCTGGGCTTATTTTTAAGCCATGAGGATACATTTTCAGCCTCATAACTACATACGTAAAATTATAACCTTACTATAACAACCATGCTCAGTGTGTGATGAGCCTTCCGAAGACACCCAACATGACAAACTTTGCATTGGATACCACGCAATCATGTTATAAAGATGAACATGGGGGTATAGGGTGATCCCCCAAGGTATAGAGCATCACACTCTCCCAGGAAAGGGTATTCTTACCTTGAAATGTATAAAGAATTTGCATTTGCATTATGAACCTGCAATTCTGCATTGTTCAGGCAAGTGAGGGAAATGCTGTCCAGAAGACAGCACCAAATATCTTGTGGCTTACTGTAAATGCATGGCCTCATCTCAGGTGCCCCTTGTGATAGCCCTCTCAGGTCCCCAACTCCATTCAAGCTTGTCCTCTAGTCCATCAACAGTTTATTGACAAAACATAGTGCAAATAGTCCATAATAGAATCCCCAGAACACAGTCAATATAACCCAGTTCTTGTTCTGACCATACCCCAGTGTCTTCCATCACAGGTAGGCTCATCGGTCCTCATCCATCCCTCTGCCAGGACCACCAACCCAGCCCTTCCTTCTGGGGTGCAACCCCACTCTTCCCAGTGGAGGCTCCCACAGCCTTTCGGTTGGGAGCATCCATCACTCTCCCTGGCCTTCTCACTGTTCCTCAGGATCCAGTTCTCCATCTCCAGGAGATGTCAGTGGGTAAGCCCCTCTGCTGCTCCCACTTCTTTCGGCCCTGTCTCTCTGGCTTGCGGACACCAGCCAGAAAATGCCTCTTTCTGCTCTCCTGACTTCAACTGTCTCCCAGGAACCACCTTCTGTTTCTAGCAGCTCTCACCTCCTGCCCTTTTCCTGTCTCAGTCTGCTCACAGTCTCTTTCTTACTAGGCCTCTTACATCCCGAGGTGCTCTCCCAGCCTGCTAACTGACCAAATGGGACCACCTGGACTGGAAAAGCACAGCTGGACCAGTAAATTAAGGTAAGTGTAACAGGGTAGCTGAACCCAGTTTAAAGAACCGACAATAATCTTACTGTAAGTGAACAATGGAGGCCAATAGAAGTGGTAACAAAAGTAACAGAAGGTGCCCATCTTTGTCCCCATTTCTGGGAGAATAAATAAAATTAAGAAGTGTACAAATGATAAACGGGAAAATGAGAAGGGTTGTCACCTTGCTATGTTCAAATTGCAGGGGCTGTCTGTACCTTAAGGTACATGAGTGAAGTTGTATGGAGACTGATGTTTTAGGATCCAGAGTTCCCTAGGGCTTGTCTACATAGGCCACTTTAGGGAACTCTCCCTCCATCATTTTAGCACCAGTCCAGCTCCAGCAGGGAGAGCTAGAATAGACCAGCTGCTAGTGTTTTTAATACCCTGTTGTCAACACCTGCTCTGAATATCTACACCACATACTCTCACCATTGTTAGTATGGTGGAGCTCAACTGGTGCTAGTGCAACAAAGGAAGGGCTCCCAAAAATTGAGAGTGTCAATGCAGTTCTACGGAAGTGCTTGACCTCAGTCTTGGAGACACGTCCTGCATTGGTGCTGTGACTCAAAATAGGTTAACGTTAGTACTCTCCTGTATGTGGTTCCTCTAATTGTTTATTTAAATTGTGCTCCTATATTCATCTCTGTCCCTTAGACCAAGTCATTAGGGTAATTTAACATGTTTCTTCTTATTTTATCCTAACTATGCAATTTAAGCTTTTAGTCATCAGAGACTAGAGAACAGCACAAAAGGGACACTTAGCCTAGCAACCAGCCTTCCCTGTTTCCTGCCCAATTCCATCACATTATTCTCACTAGTGGTAAAGGGATCACAGGGGATATCTCCTGTCCTGTATCGACACACAGTGAAGGGAAAGCATCAGTTATCTGTAATTTTAATACCACCTCATACAAGTCACATCTTGTGATCTGGAGCTATCGTCTACTGAATAGCCCCAGAGAACTGAAAGGAGAATGAAAAGCCATTGTACAGAATATGAAACAAATCATATATTCCTATAACAGGGGTATCACTTTCTATTGGATCTATGAGGAGGTTTTCCAGAGGGAAGCAGTGGGGACTGGAAAGAAAAGGGATCAGATAAAGGATTCACAGAATGACAAAGTTAAGAGAAACACTGTTCATGTTTGTGCAGTGTTTTGAAAAAAATCATCGTGCTACATGTGCAAAGGTTTATTTTTCAAATGGCCTTGAGACATTTCTGTCAAGTGTTTGTTTTACTTGTTAGTGTAGTTACCTGTAATAGAGGGAACTCCGAGAGAACACTGGACTTCTTCTCTTCTACCATTAAAATGGCTTCAAGCAGATGAACATCCGCCCAGCTGAACTGATTGCCAACAAGAATATCCTGTCCGTGGTCTCTTAAAATTTGCAAGATACATGCAAAGAAATGCCACAGTGTGGACACAGGGAACTCTAATCAGTACCTTTTAAAGTGCTTGAGCCAAAGCCTCACTATCTAGACCAACCACTTCCAATGAAGCTGCTGGGCCTCTTTGCTGCTATCTTTCTCTACCTTACAAGAGGAACACCACTAGCTAGGCCATGGGAGAAGTCAGTTCAATTCCTGCTCTGCCATGAACTTCCCGTGGACCCTGGGCAAGGTACATAGGAAGGGACTTAGTTCCCATGAAGGGACTTAGATGTTGCAATGTTGAATGCCACATATAAGGTTTAGGTGGCTAGGAGAGAGAGGGGGAAAAAATTACAGGAGTAACAAATGTAATTCACAGTGCCTGAGTTAGGCATGCAGGCTCCTATACAGTGCCTGGGGAGAGAGAGGTGCACTACAATGCGACCCACAAAAATCTGCTAGGCAGGGAGCTGCCTAAGCTAACCAATAGGAGATGATGAAGAGAAGAGTATGTCCTAAGCCTTGTCCTTCTCACAGAGCTAGGAACCTAAGTGAGGGCTGCAGGGAGGCACCTAGCTCTGCTTGCAATCCACAAACTGGGGAAGATGGGGGTTCAGCCACTTAATTTGCATGCAGGGCCCAAAACAAAACTGGAAGAAGAGAGGAGGTGCTTTCTTTAACCTTTCGCCTAGCGCAGGAGTTCTCAAACTTCATTTCACTGCGACCCCCTTCCGACAACAAAAGTTACTTCACAGCCCCAGGAGGGGGGACCAAAGCCTCAGCCTGCCCAAGCCCCACTATCCTGGGTCGGGGGGCCAAAGCCCAAGCCCCACTGCTCCAGGTAGGGGGACCAAAGTCGAAACTCAAGGGCTTCAGCCCCAGGCAGGGGGTCTGCAACCTGAGTCTTGCCACCCAGGGCTGAAGCCCTCGGGCTTTGGCTTCGGCCCCAGACCCCAGCAAGTGTAAGCCAGTCCTGGCAATCCCATTCAAAGGGGGTCGTGACCCATTTTTGGGGTCCCGACCCACAGATTGAGAACTGCTGGCCTACTGGTTTGGATACTCACCCAGAATGTGGGAGACTCCTGGTTTCAAGTTCCCGCTCCTGATGCAGATAAGAGATTTGACTATGGATCTGCCACCTCTGGGGAGTGCCCTAACCACTAGGCTATAGAACAGTCTGACATGGGACTCCCTCGTTCTGTCCTACTCAGGTTGTTCCACATTAAATAACTGAAGTAAATATTAACTGGGCCAGGGAAAGTTAGAATGTCTCTATAGCCAAGCAAGGGTTTTGTGGATCATAGTGGTGCCTAAAACTGGGACACAGGCATCTAAGCATCTTTATGGATTGTACCCTTAGCCTTTCTGTACCTGAGTTCCCAATGTGTAATATAGGAACAAATAGTGCTCCCTTATCTTCACAACATGCCTGTGAGGTAACTGCAATGAAGAGTGTGAGGTGCTCAGATACTACAGTGGTCAGGGACATTAAGTACCTTAGATAGGGAGATACTAATATGCAGCTGCTTTGTGAAGTAGGTATGTTAATATTTTGTAAGTCAGCCAGTTTTGGGTCACAGTTAAATATTTTTAAGTCTCCAGGACTGGCTAATAGTTGCTGTTTAACATCCTCCCTAGTTAATGATGGAATAGAAAGTATTTCATCACTGTAAGATATTAATACATCATTCTGCTTCTTTACCCAAATAAAATAGAAATATCTGATTACTTCTGCCGGTTCTACATCATGATTGACAATTACCAACCTTATTTCATATCAGACCTATACCCCTGCTAAGATTTAGTTTGTTTTACTATATTTGAAGAATTCGGTCTTCAAACCTCTACTGGCCATAGATTTCTTTATTTGTCTGTTTTTTAAGCTTCCCTTATCAACTGTCAATTCCTTAACTGCCAATCTCTGCTCATTGCTATCAACCTCCCCATTTTTCTATTTGTTTTATATATGGAAATTTATTATTTCACTCATTTAATGTTTTAACCAGGTTTTTGAAGAACAAACCAACCTGAAGAAGCCTTCTTTCATGATTTTGGGCAGGAAGCATCTAATAGAGCATTTTTAGTCAACTTCCAACTAAACCTCTTCCCTGATATAACGCGACCCGATATAACACGAATTCGGATATAACGCGGTAAAGCAATGCTCCGGGGGGGCGGGGCTGCGCACTCCGGTGGATCAAAGCAAGTTCTATATAACGCGGTTTCACCTATAACGCGGTAAGATTTTTTGGCTCCCGAGGACAGCGTTATATCGGGGTAGAGGTGTATTCACATTTTTATGTTTTACGTTTTTCCTCGCACTCAAGTTTGCTCATGATTGTTTTCAGCTTTGGGAAGTTGGTGCTTACTGGATGGGACTATATTGTGTTTCCACATAAGTTAAGTTGTGATCAGTTGCACTTAGACACCATCAGTTTTTAGTTGAATGATTAATTTAGCTATCGGTCAGAATGAAATATTTTATAGAATTATCTCCAGTAGATTATAACTTATTGTCATGAAGTATTGCAATCTATAATTTTTAGAAATTCTAAGGATGTTTTAATAGTGGCAGCATGTCCTCCAGCCTGAAATTCCTCACTATAACACAATTGTTCTTTCTAAACATTATAGGCAGATGTGTAAGGTACTGCTCATCCTGTTCCTTCATCTGATTTTGGGTCTAGCAGACCCCTACTAGTATCTTGTCTTGTGATTTACTAGTTACAACATTGATCAAAAAGCAAGTCCTGTTCTTCTGCCTCCTGTTATGCCCACTCTACAATCCTGCATTGCATCATTAAGAACTCTCAAGAGTAACATGAGTGAGCAAACGCATTTTGCCACACACCTTTTCATAGACTGGGAAGTATCTGTTTGTGGCCTTTTGGATTATTACAGCATGCTGCTTCTCCTTATTCTCAGCTGATAAGAAAGGGCACACTATAATTAACCCCATTAGGTCAGTTGTTCCTTCCACATACATGTCAATCCTAAAGAGAAATAGAGATTGTCAGTTAAAGTGCACTTTTATTTAGGCTAAAGAGGCATCACTAGTCAGCTTTGCTTTGCTGTAGTACAAGTATAATTATTTTCCTGCAGGAAAAGCTGCTTCTCCAGTTTAAGAAGGGAATTTGGTGTTCATAAAGAGACTGTTGGATTCATGCTATGGCCCTGACACTGCTGCTCCTCTTGCCCCCATCGCATGAGCTCATCTTAGGGATCTTAGTAATAGTAGGCTTTTTTAAACAACACTACATTGATGCCAATCAAAGTTTTGCCGCTGACCTCAACTGGAGTTAGAGCAATTTCTTAGTTTGTAGTAGACTGCAGTACCTAGCCAGATTTGATTTAGTGTAGCAATTTTCAGATATCCCCCTTTATTCAGTTTTCTGGATCAGAGATATCTGGACATTGTCTCAAAAACATAATACCAAAAGGATTTAACAATTAAAGATGACCTGGTGAGGTGGCCTCCTTGGATCCATTCAGCCTGTCTCATTAGAAATTAGAGGCTCATCACACAAGACTATGACTCAGTTATGCTAACTCTAATCCCACCCTCTATTCTAAAGAGACAGTCTCTTGAAAAGCTCTCTCAAAAGGACCCAATTCATTAATTAGGAGACACTTTTAGACACCAGTGCAAACTTTAGCCTCTGTCAGCTTCACAACTGGAGTCCTATTTAGCTTAAAAAATTAGGACTATCTAGAGCAGATTACTCTGGAACAATCACTGGTAGCTCATTTACACCTTCCCCACATATATTCTAAGGCACTTCAAAAAGTTTCAGCCACATGCAATAAGTAATAAGGTTGGCTACCATACAAGTGTGAATCAAGTCATCTGGAAGTAGGCTTAAAATGTAAAGACTGCAGCTCAAGTTAAATCTAGAGGTAATTATCAAGGAGGTATTCTGCTAGAAGAAAGAATCTAGGTGCCGACTTTCCCTCTTTCCCGTGGGTGCTCGGCCCCACTCCACCCCTTCCATGAGGCCCCATCCCTGCCCTGCCCCCATTCCAACCCCTTTCCCAAAGTCCCCACCCCAACTCCACTCCCTCCCTGCCCCTATTCCAACTCCTTCCCCAAATCTCTGCCCTGGTCCCACCTCTTCCCCTGAGCGTGCCACGTTCCAGCTCCTCCCAATCCCTCTCGGAGCGTGCTAATGCCGCCAAACAGCTGTTTGGCCGCAGCTGGGCAGGAAGTGCTGGGAGGTAGGCAGAGGAGCAGGGACACGGCACGCTCAGGAGAGGAGGAGGTGGGGTGGGGGGGGTGAGGGGAGCTTGGCTGCTGGTGGGTGCATAGCACCCACAAATTTTTCCCTGTGGATGCTCCAGCCCCGGAGCACCCACCGGAGTTGGCGCCTATCCAGAGTTCCAAGACCCCAGAGAAGCAGGTCACAATTAGACTGGTAGATACACAGGAAGTAATTCGACTGGATGTAATTTCAAATTAACCCAAACATCTCCCAGTAGAGATTAAACACCCTTCCCCCCAGCTACTGAAGGAATACTTGAAAATGTACTCTTTATAATGCTGCTATGTAATGTGATGCTACTTGAAGGCAACATCACACTATGAGAAGTCGGATTTTGCAGCAACAGGAATAAAATTGAAGTTCTGGTCACCAAACCATTTTTCTTTGTAAGAGACTTGGATTTTAACCCCATCACCTGATAAACCCCTGCCAACTTCTGTGGTGGCTGCCTAGCCAGACTGATTAAAATCAGAGCATAGCAACTTACTGGCTCAGATCTCAGTTAAATATAAATCATTAGAATACGATGAATTAGTGGGCCAGAATCTGATCTCAGTTACACCAGTGTAACTCCACTGACGCACCGACAACGGTTTGCTAGATAAGCTCTAGTTGTTAATCAGTTGGTTACTACAAGAGACTGAGTAAGAATAGTGCTGCTACAGTACATTGCTCTCTCCTTCAGGTCCTTTCCATAGAGGTTGTATTTTGCTGCTATGTAGCTGAGAATTGCTCTGGTCTGCACCATCTTCATCCTGTCAATTTCCACCAAGGGCACTTGTTGAAAGAGCAGATATCCATCTTTGGAAAGGAAAAAGGAAACAGTCACATAGTCCCACCCCAATCTTTTATATTGCCCTGGAACTGGGGTCCAATAACACTCTTATATGTTTCCAGTTGCCTTCAGAAGAACTGCTACTTTGGTAATGAAATTGATGTGAACAGTCAATGGGAGTCAGTAACAAAATTGTAACAGTGGAGGCACTCAAAAGAAAATCATTAATTGCTGGAAGGACCCCAGCTATTTTCAGAGATGAAGGAAATAAAGAGTTACTTTGGTTCAGCAAACCTGGTTTTAAAAATAATAAGTTCTCCCTCAGCATGCCAAGGCTTGATTGTACACCTCAGCATTTAAGTTGGCACTGCAATACCGGGGAGGATAGCTACCTTAAAAGCATCAACAAGACTGAAGTATTTAATGCTATAGTGACACCCCAAATGCCAACATTTAAAGTGACCTACATAAGGAATTTTTTCCAGCAGAATGGGAGCAGAGGTGGAAACAGAGGAGAAGCCGTTAATACTATTCTACACAGGGGCCTTCGAACAACCCAAGGATTGTGTTTAGATACTATGCATGTGTCTTGTATTATGCTTTATCACATTAGGATTAAATGACCAAACTAGATAAATTGCTCAAAATTCTGACTTAGCTTTTGTATTAAACACAAGATTTCCCAGGAAATAAGATGTTACCCTGAAGCACAGAAACTTAAAACTTTCTAGCACATGCAATGTAGGTTTGGCTGGCACCGCATATGCTGCTGTAAGCTTTTGCAGGGAGTTAAAAAACTCAGACAAATTATATAAAAGTGTTCACGGGAAGGGAACAAATCTCAAAATACCAATTTACTCCATGGAACTGCTTTTCTCATTAATAGGAAAAGCTCATCAATTCTGACATTATACAGTTCTAGAGAGAGTTAGGCAAATATCCAAGAGACTCCTGTCATCATGGTATTAAGGGATGCAAATAGTTATCATCAGTTCTGGTATGAGGAGAACTGCATGGTTTGTGAGCCAAGAACAAACAAAAGTCACTATATCCAGTTTCAACATTAAGTGCATACTAAAAATAACAGGGCCTGATTTGCCACATGGTAGCATTTCACACAGGTTTGAATGACTATACAAGGTGCAAGAGTGTAAAATCAGAGTCACAATTTTGGTTTCACCCCTCGTGTGATTTTTGCTGACAGAAAGGATTAATGTCCATTACAAAGGCACTGGCTGACATGGAGAGGGACAGAACACTGACCCTCTGCCGGGTTAGCCTTTAGAACTCAGATACGTCTATTAATCCTTAGTAAGTCACTGTGACTGTCTGAAGGGCATGCTTGTCAGTGCAGGGCAACCTTCCCATCTGCTGATGTCAGTACTCCATTTCACCTCGCTAGTATGTGTATGGGAGGGATGGAATTGACTGGTCCCAAACTACCAAATCTGCCCTTAGCCCACCTTTTCCTAGACGAAGAAAAACTTGGTCAAATATTTCAGATTTCATCTGGACTCACCTTGTAAGAGCTTCTCATATTGTTCCCTTGTTTCCAAAAATTCTTCTTCAAACTGAAAAAAAGAAAAAAGCGCCACCCAGGATATGAACAGAGTTTTTTCAGAGTTCTAGTACCAAGAGCATGGTTACTATAAGGGAGGGAGAGCAGAGAGGCAAATGTTATAGAAGTTAAGAGAGAGCTTGGATAAGCACAAGAAGTTGGGGGAGGTCTAGGTTGGATATTAGGAAAAACTATTTCACTAGGAGGATGGTGAAACACTGGATTACCTAGGGAGGTGGTGGACTCTCCATCCTTAAGAGGCTTTTAAGGCCCGGCTTGACAAAGCCCTGGCTGGTATGATTTAGTTGGGGTTGGTCCTGCTTTGAGCAGGGGGTTGGACTAGATGACCTCCTGAGGTCTCTTCCAACTCTAATCTTCTATGAAGTTAGAAATCTGACATCACACTAGAAATGACTATGGCTAATGTCAGTTTCCTTCCATTTCACTAATTCACTTGCCTGTCTTTCCCCCTCTGCTCAGAAGATGTGCATACCATCCAGCAGATCCTGATCAGTTTGCTCAATATTCCCTGCTCAGCCTCATACATATCAGAGAAGACAAAATGCTTTGGGATGCAGTTAATTCTCTGCCAGAGAACTAATCAGTCAGCTGAAGCTGCAAACCTTGAGTAGGAGTCTCACTGGTCAAAACTGAACACCATGGAAGTGGAAAGACCAGTCCAAAAGATAAAGAAGACAAAGCAGACAGGTGGCAATCCTGCCTGCCCCAGATTGTGCATGTTACCACCATAACTGATGAGCTGGATATTAAACATTGCACTGACAACTACTGTAGCAAATATTCAGAATCAAACTTATTCTTTAGCATAGTTTAAAGTGGCTTTGCCAAAACATAGTCACACCCCTTTATCTACCCAGACTAACGCAAGATCTAGTGCAGGTACTAAGAACTACTGTTTTGCTCATACACAGTTAATTCCACTTTATTTTTTGTTTACCCCACATAGCTTTAAGTTTGACCTTTGAGGCAGGTACTGTATATACACAGGTTCAAGATACCAAAACAAACCTCAACCCCAGCAGCTGCTAACAACCAGCGAATCGATTCCGTTTTGCCTCTCCCATTAAAGTAGTAAAGTTTGGGTTTTCCAGCCATGACTTCAAATCTTCAGTCACCTGACAAATACATGGAAATGAAGAGTTACTACAAGGATCTCCTGTAAGTTATTTTTAGAGAAATGGTTTGCAGGATGCCTGTCTGGGATGATGAAATGTTTTCTCTAGAACTAATTCAGCATCTCTTCAAGTAGTTTTTTCTAAGTTGAGCTGTTTTTATCAATGTATAGCATTTAATTGCATCTGAGTATTTCTTTTCACTCCAGGAACTTAACAAAAAGCCAAGAATGAGCAATACAAGCACTGATTTCCTAGAGCTGGAAGCTGCAGCAATGGCTCTAATATGTATCCATTTTAGGATTTTATACTCCTGCCCATCACTGTAGTTTGAGTGCTTGCCACATAAAAATCAATTGCAATAGCAAAGTTCCTAGCAGATTTCATGGAGTCTCTGGCACTTCTCCCTTTTGGTGAAAAGGAACCAAAACCAACAACTCTGCTTGGTATAGGGGTTTTGTGGCAAAAGCCATGGGGAGGAGGAGAGGAAGAAGAGGGTCAGTGCTGAATGTCACTCTTATAGTGGTCTATTCTCAGTGCACCGTGTGTACTATAACTAATGTGCAGCGTCCCCTCCACACATTACATATAAACATTATAGTCATCCTACATCAAATACCTCCACAGTGAATTTCGTAGAATGGGTTTCTCCACACCAAACAATCTTTGTAGGTGTGAAGGGACACATACTTTAGAAGTGCTACACAATGCAGAACCAGAATATTAGATCCCCGTAATAATATTTGCAGTAAAATCTCATATCCAGAGATTTTTATGACTGGCAAAAAAAGCATTCCTTGGAATGCACGGACAAAAAGCCTAGTTTGGAAGGCAGTGAGAAAAGGAAACTAAAGAATAAGTTAAAAATTGTCAACAAAAGCAGTAACTCCCACTGCTAGTTCAAATAAACCAAACACCATAAAAATATTAGTGCTTGAGTAATCCATGCCAAACTGTTGATTGTGTTACAAACGGCCCTTCCCCCAAAGCAATTCAGTCTAGTTCAAGAGAGACCACGTGGTTTTTTCCAATTTATTGAAAACGACAACAGGATCTAAATATATGATCCTAGGCAACATTTACAGCAAGTAAGTAAAATCTCACTCCCTGCTGGGTGGTCCAGTGCGACGTACTGGTTGCGGTCAGATGAATTGATTTCTCTAGCTAGAGCAGGGGTAGGCAACCTATGGCACGCGTGCCGAAGGCGGCACACAAGCTGATTTTCAGTGGCACTCACACTGCCGGGGTCCTAGCCACCGGTCCAGGGGGTCTCTGCATTTTAATTTAATTTTAAATGAAGCTTCTTAAACTTTTTAAAAAACCTTATTTACTTTACATACAACAATAGTTTAGTTACATATTATAGACTTATAGAAAGAGACCTTCTAAAAACGTTAAAATGTATTACAGGCACGCAAAACCTTAAATTAGAGTGAATAAATGAAGACTCGGCACATCACTTCTGAAAGGTTGCCGAACCCTGAGCTAGAGTGTCACCACTGCACCACACAGAGAAGCTCTTAACACACTCATATATACTCTAGCCCAGTGGTTTTCAACCTTTTTTTCTGGGGACCCAGTTGAAGAAAATTGTTGATGCCCGTAACCCAACGGAGCTGGGGATGAGGGGTTTGGAGTGTAGGAGGGGCTCAGGGCTGGGGCAGAGGGTTGGGTGCAGGGGTGAGGGCTGCAGGGAAGGGCTGGAAATGAAGGGTTCAGGGTGTGGGAGGGGGCTCTGGGCTGGGGTGCAGGAGGGGCTCCAGGTTTGGGGCAGGGGGTTGGGGTGCGGGAGGGGGTCAGGGCTCTGGGCGGGGGGGTTGGGGCAGGGGGTTTGGGGTGCAGGTAGGGGTTCAATGTTTCAGGGGTGTTCAGGGCTGGGGCAGGGGATTGGGGCGCAGACTTACCTCTGGTGGCTCCCAGTCAGCGGCACAGCCAGGGTGCACCGGGGACCGTGCTGTGCCCCGGAAGCAGCCAGCAGTGGGTTTGGCTCCTAGGTGGAGGTGCGCAAGCGGCTCCGCGTATAATAATAATAATAATATATGGAGATATACCTATCTCATAGAACTGGAAGGGACCCCAAAAGATCATTGAGTCCAGCCCCCTGCCTTCACTAGCAGGACCAAGTACTGATTTTGCTCCAGATCCCTAAGTGGCCCCCTCAAGGATTGAACTCACAACCCTTGGTGTGGCAGGCCAATGCTCAAACCACTGAGCTATCCTTCCCCCCTCTTGTCTGCAGGCACTGCCCCCACAAGATCCGGGCCAATTGGGAGTGCGGAGCCGGTGCTCGGGCAGTGTGGAGACCCATGGTCCCCGCTGCTGGCCGCTTCCAGGGCACAGTGCGGTGTTGGAACAGGTAGGCACTAGCCTGCTTTAGCTGGGCAGCACCACCAACGGGACTTTTAACATCCTGGTCAGCAGTGCTGACCAGAGCAAAGCGACTCAGCGCTTTACATGCCGTGACCCGGTAGTGGGTCGCAACCTATGGGTTGAAAAACCACTGCTCTAGGCTACGTATGCACCCTGTGACAGGTACATACACAGCATGTCCAGATATGCCCCAACCATGGATCCCCCTATTGCTGGAAAATGTGAAATACATTAAAAAGATGACCATTAAAAATAAGAAAGAATAAAGATGCCTCACCCCAGGGACACAGGAGCATCTCAGCATGCAGCCTGTATGGGAGCTCTCCAGACCCCTAACTAGTGGGAATCAAATGAAGAAATAAATGATCACTAATCAAATTCTTAAAAAAAAAAAAATCAGTTGGGAAAATAGGTTTAATGCGCTAGATGCTTCTAAGCTAATAACCACTAAAAATCATATCTGAATCAAAGAGGAGGCAAGATGGTAATCTGAAATATGGGATTCCGTTAGTTATGTACCAGAACTGCACGGTAGCTGAAGATGAATGCTGTACACCATTAGAAAAATGAAAGCCTGGGAATCCATTTTCTAATGCTCTAGAACAGGGGTGGGAAAACTTTTTGGCCTGAGGGCCACTTCTAGGAATAGAAATTGTATGGTGGGCCATGAATGCTCACAAAATTGGGGTTGGGGTGCGGGAGGGGGTACGGGCTCCGGGGTGGGGCCAGAAATGAGGAGTTCAGGGTGCGGGAGGGGGCTCCGGGCTGGGGGTGTGGGCCCTGGGTTGGGGCTGGGAATGTGAGGTTTGGGGTGCAGGAGGGTGCTCCAGGCTGGGATCAAGGGGTTTGGAGGGCGGGAGCGAGATCAGGACTGGGGCAGGGGGTTGGGGCACCAGGGGAGGTTCAGGGGTGCAGGCCCCAGGTGGTGCTTACCTCAAGCGGCTCCTGGAAGCAGCAGCATGTCCCTTCTGCTGCTCCTAGACGAAGGCGCGGCCAGGCAGCTCTGCACACGGCCCTGTCCGCAGGCACCACCCCTGCACCTTCCATTGGCCGCAGTTCCTGGCCAATGGGAGCTATGGGGGTGGTGCTTGGGGTGGGGGCACATGCAGAGTGGAGTCCCCTGGCTGCCCCTACGCGTTGGAGCCGGAGGGGGACATGCCACTGCTTCTGGGAGCCGCACGGAGGATCTCGAGGGCCGGATTAAAACGGTTGGCGGGCTGGATGTGGCCCGCCACTCGTAGTTTGCCCACCCCTGCTCTAGAACATCCCTTTCTAGCCCTGGTGAGTCAGGATTTACTGGAACTTTAATGATTTCTTAGATCGGCAGTCTGTCACACTGGTTAAGACTTAATATAGGAGATGGATTTCTGACTGGTGTAAGTTTGGGTCCATGAATAGTGTCTCGTTTCTCTCTCTGAATAGCTCTTATAGCAGCAAGTAACCATTCAAACTTTTCAAATTGCTGAGCTAAACTGTGCTGCCAGGAGAATTATGTGCTGAATAGACTAGAGTTTGGCTCTCAGTAGGAGCTGAATTCCATTCTGCAGCCGTAAGCCAAGAGAGTGTAGAGTTCCAACTCCAGCAGTAAGTCAGCTAAGTAACTGCTCTCACCAACGGAAATTGGGCCAGCAAAGGATATTACCTGACTCTCCATTACCCTGGGACCAACATGACTACATCAACTGTGCATATAACTGCATAATGGGAGGTCTCTGCTGGTGTGGAAAATGCTTCCGTCTGTACGGAGGTTTCTGAACCACAGGTGCAGTGATCTGGGAAAGTGTATGCTGGCATGTGAATAATAGACTACAGTTTTCAATGTTGCAGTGTCCCTCTTGAATAGGGAAAAAGTGGCCTGTGAACGGCCTTGAAGGTAGCTGTAGTATTGCACAAGACAACTGCTTATTAGTTAATGGACATAAAAACAAAAGCCAAATGCCAGACTCCTGCTAGTTACTGATGACCCAGGAATAAAAATGACTGAAGCTAGCCAGCCGCAACAAAGAGTCAGGGGCCTGCTCCTATTCTCTTAGTCAGTGGAAACAAACATTGCCCGATAATATTTGCAACCCTAATATTGCAGCTTTGTTTCAGTACATGAGAACCTGTGATTATTCTACTGCCTAAGCTGAGCAAAATGCAAAAGTAAGAGTCTTCACCATTTATGCTGTTTCTGTGTGTTTTAATGGTCTATGGCAGTGATATTCAGACCTCAGTGGTTCAGGGGCCAAATTAGTGATCAGCATTACCCAAAAGAGCCACAGTAGTGTGAATTCATTGTATCATTTGCTATAGTACTATTCATATATAAACAGTATAACGGGAAATATTTAGTCACTATTCTCATAGCAAATAATGTAATTGGTTAATAAGACAGTAAAGCATTCTGATTTAATTATTAACTAATCAGTGTTTAGATATGTGCTGCAAAGAGCTGTAGGAGACGCATTAAATAGCCACTTGCGGTTTGTCAGCCACAGTCTGAGTATCACTGGTTTATGGTGTGGGTTGTAATACAGATAAAGACAGTTAAAAAAAATTTTTTTAAAGTTGGTTAAGGGGTTACACAAATTTGTTTTTCCTAAAGTGAACTATGAGACTTATGCCCAAATGCAGAGCAA